ATTTGAGAGAATCAGCGTCGGCTTTTGTCTAGAGACGTAGTCAAATATGGAAAAACTAGTCCATTTGAAGAATTGAGTCCACAGCCTATAATTCTCTTATATTTGTGAAAGACTTCCTTTTGTCAACATGCTTGAGTAACGTATTAGTGGAAGTTTCAAAGCCAACTCTATAAAATGTTTAGTACATTAAACTTCCGCTGGATTTTACATGTTAACATCTTTATTTCCTTTGCTTGGTAACATACTCCCCCACATATATCCAGTGCTTCATTCTATGCATAAAACCAGTTACTTCCTAGGTCTCTTCTTGCTGCAATTTTTAGAAGAAAATAGAATCAAGACATCTGTTAGAGGCCAATTCACCTTGTCTCACTAGTCAATGATTGTTTTTTTCCACAACTAAGGTCAAGGATTCAAGGATTGGTACCTCCATCGCCCCTCAAATAAAAAAATCCGTTAAGGGTTTCGATTTTTGGAGTTGAGGGATTAAATTACATATGCTTATTTCAGGCACATTATCAACGAGACATGGGGTTGTTACATTGGTCTGTCACAGACGGCTGAGCTTAAAATAGCCAATTCGAGGCTCAGTTTTTTGTATGCATGGTATTATATGTTAGCTAGTATGAAAAGCAAAATTCAAAAGAAACGCTCATAAGATAATATGCTCTCTGTGGGGCTCAAAACCTATGAAAAATGACGTTCAAAACTTTTAGTTCTATAAAATTGGAATTGACACACATTTTGTTGGTTTTTAAACACACGGACATATAACATGTTGCTATAGTTTAAGAGAGGCATGTTTCCTTGCCACAAGTATATCACATTCTGAGAAATTTTCGAGGATATGAAGAGATAATGCACATCAGATATGTATAAATACAGGTATTTGGTGCGTTATATATTCATCTTAGACAAGAACTGGATGACATGTGCTACGTTGTTCACCATAGAGAAAATATTTGAGCTAAATGATGGATAATGAGTTCTTAATCACAGGACATTATTGGTATCTTTGATGTCACAGGATATTACTTGAAAAAAGCTACAATATCTTAAGAAATATGGAACTAGCAATACGTCTAACACTTAATTTTTCCCGACTAAAGACAACAGTGATCATAAGGATCATAGCCACACAATCGAAACATCGAAATGTAGTAACAATATTTTAGGAGAAGTTTAATGATTGAGATCCAAAATATGAGGCATCGTGTGTGATTCCTCCGTTTCATTCATGTATGTAGTTCATGCCCAATGTTTAATATTTTAATATGTGACCGGAACTTTAAAAACTCAGCAATTTTTATTCAAATATACAAACTCCACAATACTCTCAAGAGCCATTCGGTTCACCTTATCGAACAAGCCACAAGTGCATATCAACAAGCATGTAAAACAGTACTTGTTTGAGCCACCTTTTTATAAAATGAGAATGAAAAATATAGATGTTATTGGAGCCACACAAGAAATAGAAAATTTGAATTTAAATGTTGATGTGATAGATAACGGTCATATTTTTCATTTTAATGAGAAAATAAGGTGGCCCAAACGAGGGCTAAGATGAGTGCGAACTTCACTATATGGTCTAGCCCTGAAAGGGAAAAATAAAATAAAAAAAATACTATAGTACAAAGTAATGAGAAGGCAAACATTTGAAACTCTTACATCACAATTAATGAACAAATAAACAATGATCAATTCCTAAGTCATTCTATGCATATTAAATTAGTAACAGTAAATTTTCGAACACGGTAACTAGAGAACTGTGAAATGTTAATGAATATGAAAATTTAATGCATAAAAAAATGTACTCCTAATAAATAAAATTAAACTTCACCTGCAGAATTATAGTTAGCAGAAGTCAAGGAAGAGTTGGTGGTAGAAGTTAAGGTTTCTTTGCAGAGATCACTGAGCTGAGATTCAATTTTGCTCAAGAAAATTGTGGCTTCGTCAAACGGCTTTGATATTTCCTCCGTGCATTTGTGTAAAACCTCACAGTATGATTCCTCCAAAAACACACACAAAAAGGATAAACTCAGCATCCTTGTTTCCCATAAAAATTTGACGTCGCTGCGTTCAAATCAATGCAATATAAACTCGATGTAGTAACTGTAATAAAGACTTACCATAAATTTATCAAGTTCAGGATCAGTGCCGAGTTGAGCGGGGGCATAAACAGGGTTACTTTCTTGGCTGATTTCTTCAAGAAGTGAGACCATTTCTGGTGGTGCTCCCACCTACTAACATAAAACATTCTTACACTAGTGGCACACAGAGACAAACAGAATAATATTCATGTGGGCCTTTATAAAGAACAGTGAAGAAAAACGTGCATCAGTGTGAAAATTATTCACGAACAGTTATATTAAACAGGGTTACCTTTCGACACTCGATGTAGGCAGATACTAAATTAGGATAAAGAGGGTGATTAGCAATCTGGGCCTTGGTTATATCTGAAATTTCTGATCCTGTGATCTCATGATGAGTTTGAGCTTGTTGTATTAAACCCAGATGATGATTATTATGATAATCACTAAACCCTCCCATACTATTATTATCAATAGGAAATGAAATCGAGGAATGAAGTCTGTATAATTCATCCATAACTAGTAGCGTTAATTTTACTTGCAGAGATTTTTAAAGAAACCCCAACATTAATTCGATCAATCCTTCAAAGATTGTGTCAAAACAGTTATTCTTGAATATGAACACTCACAGTAGTACGTGTTTTTAGGTAAACCCCCATGCTGAAAGATCAAGAATCAAGAACTCACGACAGTGAATCCAACAGAAAAATTTATGCTGGGATTGTTAAGAAAAAAACTGGGCACACCTCCAATGATTTGAAGTAGGGCAAAAATCATCAAAAAATATGTAGAGAGAGAGAGCATGGGAAAGATAGAGAATCTTTCCACCTGAGTAAAAAGTTGAAAAAGACCAGACGAAAGTTTCTGTTGTAAACGCAAGTGGGGAAACACACGCGAGGTCACAGAGAAAAAAGATAAAAGATTAGGCTGGTCTAGGGATGGACGAGAGAAAGTATGGATGGACAGGGCAGGGGCATTAGGGTATACCAAAATGCGCTTTCGCACGTTCTACATCACTGTAGTAAACACAGTCCAAACAGTGATTATGGTACTTTACTAGGATTCTACATAGATTCAGCGTTAGATATATGAAAAAGCATTTAGAAAAGAAACTATGGTACTGTAATGACATGACATTACGCCATGTTTCGAAAGGGAATTGGTTAAAAAGCATTTAGATACAGTGGTTTTATACACTGCACTGCCTTTTTTCACTGATCACTCACTCTCTTGTCTCTTCAAAATAATACTCCCACAAGGGGTGGGAGTTCAGTTTTCCATTGTAGTTTGCACTATCTTTCATTCTCGTGATGTTCGAATCTAGTTGCTTTTTTGTTTAGTTAAAAATTAAATTTTAAATAAATTTTGATAAAAATAAATAAAGTATGTCATTAAAAATTGATAAAAATAATGAATTTCAAAAAATATGTGATTAAAAATAAATTTGGAAAAAAAAAAATTTTAGAAAATGGAGTTCAAACAATGACTGAATGAAGTAAAAGCATTCGGCATTAATGTTGTAAAACTCCCCCCCTCGTTACTACCAAAATTTGTGTCCTGTTAACAAGAGTTCAAGACAAACGTTGAGGGTCGATGAATAGTTTTTGAGATAATAAAATCGACCCAAATCAATTGTTCATAAAGCCAATTAAACCAATGAAAATGCAATGGATGAAAATGCTTTGATCCTTAAATCAAATTAGGGTTTGATATTAAAAATGTAAATGAATAGAAGTTGTTAGCTCGTTTGATCTCCATTATTTTCAAAATATATATTTCATTCTCTTCTTTTTAAACCACACATTTTTTAATAAAATAATATTACATACAAACACAAAAATTTTCTTATTTTTTAACCATGCATTTTCTATCAATCTACTATTCAAAAACGCATTCTTTGCCAAATAATTGGACACAAACAATGGCTGTATATATGAAAGGGTGTGTTTGTCTCCCATTATTGGGGGAAAAATAGAGTAATGGATAATATTTTTTGGAGAATGTGTGGTTGAAAAATAAAGTTACTTTATTGGTTTGTGTGTAGAATATTTGATTGGATGAATGTGTAGTGAAAAATCTTACTGTAGCAAATAATTTTTTTGAATAATGATAGACAAAATGGGGCAAAGTAAACCTCTATCATATATTTTGTTGCTTTGTGTTTATAAAAAAAAATGAGTGTGAGAGACAATGGGTGATGTTTCTTAAGCATTTATGTGACATTGTAGACAAGAAAATGGTTAGACATTTAATTCACTTGTCAGGTCGATTATCTACAACCACCATCCGTCGCAAATGTTGACCTGCATCTATTTGATATAATTGTAATTAACTAGTCAACTCTATAGTCTTGCGGAGCCTTGGATACTTGATATCAAAGTGATTAATAAACATTAGGGTAATTGGTACAGTTAGTCCTTAAATATTGGTATTTCTGTGGAATAAGTTCTGAACCTTTCATTTTGGTGTTGAAGTGCAATCTCTGGCGCCACAGGTCATTTTGGATGGGTTCCTTTCCTTCCCATTGCTCCTTTAAATCAACACGTGGCTGCCAAACAATGAAGGGCATTTTGATAGTGTTCACACTTGTCGATCAATAACATATAGATCAAACAATTTTTGACAGTGTTTACACTTGTTGAACTTGTTAAAATTTCTGTGTGATCCGAATTCTTGTAGAGTATTTGAATGGAAATACTTTTGAAGGACTATTGAGAGTTGGTAGTAAACTTAAAGATGTCTTAAATGAATCCAAAATGGATTAGGATTCTAATTTCATTTTTTGGCAGCTTTTGACTCTTATTTCATCCAAATATTCAATTATTGGTTTTACCTATTGTAATACGATTCACCTTTTGTTAGACTCTTATTTATATTAATTCTTTTAGTATGTTAGGAATTCGTGTATTATAAATATGTGGTGTATTACATATTTTTATTTGATCAACTTAGAGAATGATATATGGGATCTAGAGAGAGACTCGCATAATAGAGAGAACAGGTTGAAAGTCTTGTGGGATCTAGATTTGCATGACATACTTATAGGTCTTTAGAGCATCTCCAACAGACTCTTTAAACATGAGATGCTCTCTATTTTAAAGAGTCAACATGTAAAATCATGCTCCAATAGACTCTTTAAATTAAGATTTTAATTTAGAGAGTGGGTTTGGCTCTCCAAATTTGGAGAGCCAAACTCACTCTCTATAANATAGAGAGTCTCTTGGAAATGCTCTTACTATTGATTATAGTGAATTTTTCACCTCTATCCATAGGTTTTTTTCTCCCTAATTTAGGTTTCCACGTTAAATCTTGTGTTCTTATATGATTCTTGTCATCTTGTCATATTTTTTGCTTTAATATTCATAACAAGTGGTATAAATTATATCATCGAATTATTACAAATTGGCTTGTTCTACATTAAGTGGTATCAGAGCTTAAGGTTCCAACAGTTTCTGGGAGAGCCAGTAAGGTCTTGTATTAAAGTAAGGTTTGATTGTTTCGGGATGACAAGTATAAAATTTGAAATTCTGCTTTTGGATTGCAACAAGATTTTTTGTTGTAACGAATTTTTTGTTTGGATGTTGGAGGAAAAACAATGTAAGAGTCGATTATACTTTTTGGAAGGTTCGACGATCACTTTGAATGCAGCTGCGGCTTATGGTTCGATAAACGGTAACTTTGATAGAGTTGCTTGTGATGATTCGAGTAATGATATTGAAGAACCGGCCACTAGTTCAGGTAGAGCTAGCTTTGAACTTGATGATCGTGTGACTGGTGGTGATTTGAGCAAGTTTGATAATTCAGGTATAGTTGGTTGTGAACGGGATGATTCAAGCAGGTTTGGGGCTCAAAGTAGTTTTGCTGGTAAGCAGGGCTTGGATTTTATTCATAGTTGCTGAGAATACCCGAAGGGACATGGTGGAAGAGGTGGATTTTGAGTATTTTATTGGAAAATTTTGTTGAAAAGTTAAATTTTATTCCTTGTAGTGGACTTCGTGTTAAGTTGGAGGTTTGTTAGAATTTCAGTGTAACCTAAATTCTTGTTGAGTATTTGATTTGAAGTATCGTTGGAGAACTATTGGAAGTTCAAGATAGACTTGAAGATATTTTGAAGGAGTTTAAGATGGATTAAGATTCTAATTCCATTTTTTGCAGCTTTTGACTCATTTTTCATCCCAACTAGTGTATTTTTGGTTTTACCTATTGTAATGGAATTTCACATTGTGTTAGACTCTTATTTGTATCAATTCTCCTAGTATGTTAGGAATTCTTGTATTACAAATATGTAGTGTATTACACATGTTTATTTGATCGACCTAGAGAATAATCCAAGGAGACCTAGAGAGAGACTCTCATGATAGAGAGATCTAGTTGAGAGTCTCGTGTGATCCAGATTCACATAACATACTTATAATTCCTTACTATTGATTATAATGATTTTTCCTCTTCTGCCCATGGTTTTTTTCCCTAATTTGGATTTTCACTTTAAATCTTGTGTTCTTATGTGATTCTTTTCATCTTGTCGTGTGTTCTTGGCTTTAATATTCATAACAATCGGTATAAGTTCTATCATCAGATTATTGCAAATTGACTTGTTCTACATCAGAACTCAAAGGAGCACATTTCGGATGAACTCACCACATCATTTTAGTGTTCTCAAAGAAAATAAATCATTGACACATACACAAAGCAGAACAATATTTAGGGATATATCGAAAGATTATAAAATAAATAATCAACATTAAGGCATTGGATTTCTCATCTTACAAGTTTGACCTTTTAAAATAGAACTTTAAGTTTTAATATGATATCAAAATCCAATAAACTCAAACAAGAAACTCTATCCAATCAAGACTAAAAAATTGAGCACATGAGATTTCAAGATTAATATGCTTAAATGAGCCACAATCTTACGAGGCATGTTAAGAGGAAAATCTCACATTGAGAAATTATAAAATAGGCAAGCAACATATAAGGTATTGTATTACTTCTTTTAAAAAGATTGACATTTTGAAATAGAAAACCAAATCTTAAAAGAAAATAGACGATCAACTCTATGTTGACCTTCTAAGCTCGCCCCTTTTATGTACTAGTAATATTTTCTTGTTTTAAAGTTCAACTCAACAAAATGCTCAACCATTGCTAAAACTTAAAAGGAAATAAGTCCAACAAAAAATTCATCATAATTGAAACCCAAACATATACTACATTTTTGGACAAGTGGTATTTTCATTGAGAATCGTTTCTTTCATATACCAATGAACAGAAGTTCACACTTTATTCTAATAAGAAAATAGATTCAACTACTCTACCAATTAAAATAGGCAGTTTGTATTGGCCGTGACAAGTGAATCTTGAGAGGAGTGATAACACTAGTTAACTTGGAAGTGTACTATGGCATGATCATATAAATAATTACACTCCACCTAACTGTTTTATGAATTATCTAAATTCATAACGAAATAGTAGTTGATGGTCTTTGATGTGATAATGAGTGAGATCAATTAATAAGGTTAA